CAAAAACACTGAAATCTAAGCTATAATACCGCAGAATATTCTGTAAAAACTTATGAATTCTGATGACAAACGACTGACACGTTAATCATTAATAACAAGCATTCCATTCGTATTCATGTCTTAAACACAGACTTAAAATTATTTATGTATTCATAAGATAACAATTGAAATGTATATAAAATTATATTTCTCATCAATTAATGAATGAAAAATCATCCACATAATTTATCATATTTATAAAATAAGCTGAATGTCAAAAATGTTTTTTAAAAATTAATGTAAAAAAGCTCTCATATAACGTTATGCTATAGTTATTTGTTAATTATATATTTATTTACAGTGACTTATATGCGATTCTGTAATTTAAAGAATTTTTGTATGTATACGGATTACATCTATAAAGCTAAATATCTATTATTTGAATATTAATTAAATTATATTTTTCTAAAAATTTATTTATTAAGCCATAAATAATTTAATGTTTATAATGAATATTTTCTAATGTATAATACAAATTCTATACTGTAGAGAGCTATATAGAGCCATATAATTGTGAATAAGATGTAAAAAATATTTAATTGTATTTAAATGTTAATAAATATAAAATATAAAAACATTTATTATAGATATTATTTTCAAAAAACAATAAAAAATATAACAAAAATTCTTAAGATTAAATATACAGAATTAAAATTAAATGGCAAAATTATTATGATAACTATAATAAACTTACCTGTCACACACCTGATTGCTAGTATCAATTGCAATATACTTATAATTATTATCTCGTTACTAATGTTTATTACATAACAATTTCACATCATACTGTATCAACAAATATTTATAAACTCCTTATACTGTGTATGAGTCGTAGTATTATACAAACAAAATAAGTGGTAATCACTGGAAATATGTCCGCAAAGTGTCTCATAAATAGTCTTATTGTGATTCTGACAGCCAGTCTGTACACAAATGCCGACTCCTTCAGCCAATACGAGATTAGGGACACCGATGGCAGGGGAACTGGAGTTTATCGGCACTTACACTATAACCTAACATGTATTCCCAACACTAAATCCGATGACCTGTGTTATACTAATGGACTGGTAGTGTTTGATATCATATACGGTGTCTACTACTCGGCCAACACTACCAGTGCTAAGGATAGCCACCGGGGGTTCTTCGTGTGGAACTCCACTAGAATTTCAGATCAAAACACCGATACACTTGAGTTGATGATCCAGTTCACCACCGATGACATGATTGTCACACCACGTGTTAAGTACATGCGGTCTATTAGACTGACCATGGTCAATCTCGATGAATACACGTCCACTTCAGTACTTAAGGAATTGACATTCACTTCAAGTTTAAAGGTTTGTGTTGTAAAGTAATTATTATATTTGTTTTAATTGTAATTATGAGTGGGAGAGTGAATGAGTGAGTGAAAGAGAGAGAGAGAGAGAGAGAGAGAGAGAGACTATAATTATTTCTAATTGATATCCGACTGAACCCAAGGATGCGTTGAACCACTCGCTGGCAAACGTGGATATAATGCAGAACTCAATCATCAATAACCCGTCAAACGCTAAAATACGCGAAAAAGTAAGCAAGGACACCAAATACAAAATGGAAAGTACGCTCACATACGGCCAGGCCTTTCGCAACCTAACCAACTACCACATGAACACCCGGGTTGAGGCGGGCGCCGGCATTAAGATCTGGAAACTGAAGGCCGAGCTCGAGAGGGCTGTCGAGGAGGGCGTCGCTCAAGAGTTTGAGTACAACTCCAACACATCCCAGTCCTCCACCGCCACCACTGAACAGGAGTTCCACTTTTCGCGCGAAATAACGGTCAACCCGTTTGAATCGGTTGAGTACAGCGCCTACTTGGAGGTGACCAAAGACCTGTCGGTGCCCTACCGGGCCCTCAAGTACCTGACAGTGTACGGGCCCCGGAGCTATCAAAATAAAACGCTAACCTCTCTGGAAACTGCCATGCTCATTTGGACACGTACTAATATCTCTAATATAACCCTAGGCCCGGATAATTGTGCGATAATACCGGTGCAGGGCATGTATGGCAGCACGTTTGGTGTCAAGTCGGTGTTTAATGTGCACCAAACTGGCCATGGTACACCTTATTATGGGCATTATGGGCATATTACCTTTCCGATCATAATTATATTGGGTGCCGTTATTATTATATTGGTCACGTTGAATATGTATTTAATTAAACATAATCGTGAAGTTGGAAATAGCACCATATTCACGGCTGATGAGGTACATGAGCTGAGCGCACAGGGAGGGCCCGGTACTTCGCATGAAGTGTGCGAAGATTTTGGTCAGGAAACCGATAAACTGGTGACCGATTGTGATAATAAAACTTATAACACAGGATATACTCGCATATAATGTATTTGTTAACTAATGTGAAAATTATAATTAAATATTTTATTAATATTATTTTGTGCACCAGTTATGCATTTTAACTCAATAAACAGTTTTGTACTTAACCAGATTAAATCTTAATTTTTTTTCACTAAATTCAACAAACTTTATCAATATTCAACAAAAATTAAATACAATTATTTAAGTAACAAATAAATGTTAATAATTAAAATAAAAATTACAGTACTGTTAAATATAAAAATCTTTTTAACTAAACCGTAAGTTAATTGCATTTATTTATGACATCTTTTACACGTTAACTGTCTGTCACACGATAGTTGTGTAACTAAGGCCTAGGATGTGCAATAAAATCTTACCCTTGATTTGTGATCCAACTATAGTCTGACAATTATTAGGTCGGAAATGTGATACATCTTCAAATCCTTTACTATTTTCTATACTTTTACTGAATGTTAAAAATATTTTTATTTCTTTTGTTATGATGTTTATATATAAACAAGATTCAAATTCAGTGCAATACTATGTTTTCACTGCTTATTTGCAATCGTATTTCTTAGCATTAATATTAATACAACTTTTCAACTATTAATGAAAATTATTTGTTATAAATACTATTTAATTTGATAGAAAACTGACATAAAGTGTATTTTCAAACCATAATCACATATAAAATGCTTACAATTAGTGCATTGTATTGTCAAACTTATTGTGGCCTTAAGTGTCAGTCACTTAACAAACGCTAACTTCGATCCCATGTCTTACGAGATGATTAACACGAGAGGCAAAGGGACAGGCGTTTACACACACCTACACTACAACCTAACCTGTGAGCCAGCTCACCGTAATGACCGGCTCTGCCTGACCCATGGGCTGGTGGTGTTTGAACGCCTGTCCCACATCTACTTCAACGCCAACACAACTCAGCTCCGGGACAGTTACCGTCCGTTCTTCGTATGGACTTCCACTCAAAGCCATAGACAACACACCCATGAGTTGCGGATCCAGTTTACTGTCGATGATATGATGGTTACGGCTCGGGATGACTACGTGCGCACTATAAGATTGACCATGTTCAATTATAACGATTATACTAAAGATTCATTACTTAAGGAATTCACGTTTGACACAAACATTGAGGTTTGAATGAAATTTGTTTTATTTATTATATTAATTCCTATGTATTGAACTGTACTGGATACTACCTTAACTTGGCATGACCATGATTCTTTTATTTTTCTAAATTAGAGAGAGAGAGAGAGAGAGAGAGAGAGAGAGTCTATTTTAGTAATATAATACAGAATACACAGAATACTAATAAAACTATACTTTAGGAGGCGCTCCGAAAATCGGAAGCGCGGGTAGACGTACTACAGGTGTCCAACATAACCAATCCGTCCAACTCTGTCATCCGGGAGTCAATCAGTCGGGAAAAGGCGTTCCGATCGGAAAATCAACTCACATTTGCCAACAAATACCGGCAAATGAGTGGCAAAAACACAACCATTCAGGTGGGCGGGCAAGTGGGCGGCATAATGTGGAACATTTTTAGCGCCGACATAAGGGCCAACTTTGAGCATGGTATTTATGCCCAGTATACGAACTACACGGAGCGCACGGGCACCACGACTACCAGCGCTGAGCACGTGTTCAAATTCACGCGCGAGATTACAGTCAACCCGTACGAGTCGGTCGAGTACAGCGCCTACCTATCAATCGTTAAGGACCTGACCCTACCCTACCGGGCCGTCAACCACCTGAGCGTTACAGGACCCCTGAACTACCGGAACAGCTGCCTGTCCAGCGTGGAGGCAGCCATGTATGTCTGGGCCCACACTGGGCTCACCAGTATTACTCTAGTGGAGGATAACAGGGTGGCCGTACCCGTGGAGGGCCGGTATGTTACGACTTTCGGCGTGCGGTGGGTGTTCAGAGTGCGTCCACACGTATACCACACATACTTTGCACTGCATATGGGTTTGAGTGCAGTTATACTGGTTTTGAGTGCGTTTCTCGTCATATCTCTGGTTTACATATGGATACTGAAGCGTAAACTGAGAGATACCAGGTCTCCCCAGAAGTTACAGTGTATTGATGGCACCGGACTTATCAAGAATAATCAAGGCACTGGAATTGCTAATAATGCAACAGGGCAAAAATTCGGCGTCGACACACTAATGCGTGTTTTGAATCATGCGGGAACCACAAAGATAACTGATAAAGATTCATCAGTTTAAAATTAACCACGCTGAAAACTACTTAAAGCCATCCATTGAAAAATTTTATGAAATTCACAGAATATAATGACATTTTAGATATTATTTAGTAATATAAATTTAATTTTAATTATAGTCTATAATTATTTGATTTTAAATCATTGGTTTTTGAATGTAACTTAATAAATTCCAGAATCCCGTAAATTATTAAATTATATAAATGATATATTATTTAACAAGCTTTATACGATAATTCTAGATGGCAACGCTTAGCCAGCACACACTTATCTATTTTTAATTTTTAATTAAAATTAAATTTTTATACACCAAATTGATTGTAAACAGATATTACATAACTATTACTTGTTAATATAATAAAGTATGTAAATATTTATTTTTTTAAACTTATAATAAATTTTTACTGTACTTTTATAACAAGTAATTAATAGTGTGAACAAAACAATTAATTAATTTGATTATAAAATCGCAAATCATGTCATCAATGAGTGCTAAAAGTGTTTTGATTGCGATCTCACTATACGTTCACTCATTAAACGCTAATTTCAATGCCAAGGACTACGAGCTGACTAACACTCAGGGCGAGGGAACTGGCGTTTACACGAACCTACAGTATTACGTAACAGACTGTCAACCCCCTGGTAAATCATTTTTCACTCATTAAACGCTAATTTCAATGCCAAGGACTACGAGCTGACTAACACTCAGGGCGAGGGAACTGGCGTTTACACGAACCTACAGTATTACGTAACAGACTGTCAACCCCCTGGTAAATCATTATGTAACGGGAATGGACGAGTTCAGTTTTACACAAATTGGTACAGGCCATTTTTTAGGGCCTTTGTTGACCATGATAGCTATGTTCCCATATATGTGTGGAGATCTAAACGGATTACGGGCGCAAATAAGCTAGATGATTCATATGAAGTTGAGTTGCAAATTGATCGCACTCAGTCAATGCCGCTGTACACTGTCCAGGATGATTTACGTTGGATTACAGTGAAAATGGTCAAGCTCGATGAATATACGGGTACATCGATATTACGCAAGTTAAATTTTACGTCAAACGCTAGGGTTTGTGTGTTTATCTAATGTTTTATCATTTTTGTGTAATATTATGCAATATTTGACAATAATATACAAACAGGTTTCGTATACAATGTAGAGAGAGAGAGAGAGAGAGAGAGACAATTTAAAAACTATTTTAAAACATTTCAAAGTTTTAAACAAAACTAAATGTATATTCAATTAATTATATCTTAAAATGAATCGTAATTTTCTTCACAAAACATATGATAGGAAGCGATGACTAATGCGATGGCGAACGTGGATGTCATCCAATCGGCCACAATAGACAACCCGTCGGACTCACGGGTGCGACAGACTATAAGCCGGGTCACGACATTCAGCACTCAATACACCCTCACTTATGGCAAGAGTTTTCGGTCACTAACCGGCCTTCAAATGACAGGTCATATCGAGGGCTCAATTGGCGCCGGATTTCTCACCTTTTTCTCGGCCGAACTCAAGGCCTCCTTTGAGGCGGGTTTGCGACAAGAGTTTGAATACCAGTGCCAACGGTCCCATTTCAAATGACAGGTCATATCGAGGGCTCAATTGGCGCCGGATTTCTGACCTTTTTCTCGGCCGAACTCAAGGCCTCCTTTGAGGCGGGTTTGCGACAAGAGTTTGAATACCAGTGCCAACGGTCCCAGTCGTGGGCCAACTCCACGCGACAGTCGTTTCAGTTCACGCAAGAGATTACTGTTTATCCGTACGAGTCGGTCGAGTATGACGCCTACCTGGAAGTGGTTAGGGGTCTGTCCCTCCCATACCGGGCCCACAAATATCTGCAATTACGCGGACCCCGGAGTTATTCAAACGATTCGATATCGGCAGTGAATAGTGCCCTGCTCATTTGGATCTATACTGGCATGACTAGTATACAAGTCAATCCAGACAATGGTGTTATAGTTATACCGATTGAGGGCCAGTATGTCAGCACATTTGGCGTGCGATCCGTGTTTAACGTACGACACGTCGGCCAAAGGAACGGCTATTTAGTACTTCCCATAGGACTTGGAGTTATGATTGTATTGGTGTTAATAGGGTCTAACTTAGCATGGTTAGTTTATAGTTGCAGACGTTATAGGGTGGTC